CAATTATTTCCGAGAAAAATGGTGCAATTATTCCTGAGGAAAATAATACAATTATTTCTGAGGGAAATAATAAAACTATTTTTGTGGAAAATAATACAATTATTTCCGGAGGAAATGATACAATTATTTCCAAGGAAAATGATACAATTATTCCTGAGGAAAATGATGCAATTATTTCCGAGAAAAATGGTGCAATTATTCCTGAGGAAAATAATACAATTATTTCTGAGGGAAATAATAAAACTATTTTTGTGGAAAATAATACAATTATTTCCGGAGGAAATGATACAATTATTTCCAAGGAAAATGATACAATTATTCCTGAGGAAAATGATGCAATTATTTCCGAGAAAAATGGTGCAATTATTCCTGAGGAAAATAATACAATTATTTCTGAGGGAAATAATAAAACTATTTTTGTGGAAAATAATACAATTATTTCCGGAGGAAATAATACAATTATTTCCGAGGAAAATGATGCAATTATTTCCGAGAAAAATGGTGCAATTATTCCTGAGGAAAATAATACAATTATTTCTGAGGGAAATAATAAAACTATTTTTGTGGAAAATAATACAATTATTTCCGGAGGAAATAATACAATTATTTCCGAGGAAAATGATACAATTATTCCTGAGGGAAAGGATACAATTATTCCCGAGAAAATAATAAAATTATTTCCGAGAAAATAATAAAATTATTTCTCCGAGAAGATAATAAAATTATTTCTGAGGGAAATAACAAAATTATTTCTAGCGAAGATGATAAAATTATTTCTGAGGAAAAAATAACAAAATTATTTCTAGCGAAAATAATAAATTATTTCTAGCGAAAATAACACGATTATTTCTAGCGAAAATAATGCAATTACTTCTGTGGAAAATAATAAAATTATCTCTAGCGAAAATAATACAATTATTTCCGAGGGAACCTCCACTTAGGAATCCCATTGTCGGATTTGAAGCACAAAGGCGCCCGGACGGTCTACTTATCGCGGGAATATCAGCGTGTACAGGGCTCCGATAGATTGAACTTGTCCATTAGAGCAGGGCGCGACGGCGAGCACCGGCTACAAGCCGGTCTCCGTTTTAAGCTGGCCGTCGCAATCATCGCGCCTTCTTTCGCAAACGCTCCGGCCGCTAAGGCGATTAGGCGAGGCGCAGGACCGGGAACGTTAACCGAATTCCGGACATTTTGTCCGTTCGCCGGAATTACGATAATCCGGTTCGTTAATCTCGGCCCGAAGTTGATTAAGGCCGATATATACGGGGAGCCGTGGCCACGCTGGCTTGAAATTTCGTCACGGGGACCCTCCATTGACCTACATCAAACTACAATGAGCCGTATCGAGATCGAGCCGCGAACATCACGCTGACACCGTGCCGAAATTACACGGGAAATTACGCGGCGGTCCATTCGGGCCGGTTCGGAACTTCGTTGGTGCCGCGCAGCAACCGTGGGAAACCCGCCGCCGCTTTTCGAAAGTTTGCACGTTTCTTTAACAGAGTCCTGGGAGCTTCGCCCGCATGTCCGATCCGTTCCGAGCGAACAATTCTATCATTACTTTTGCCCCGGTCATTCGTCGCAGTCTTTTATCCGCCGCGAACGGGTCTATTTTCGGCCGTGGTCGCGAGCACGAGTAAAATTGCACGCATTTTTCTTGCAGCGAATCATGAAATTGTGGACGACTGTGGATCTCAAGAATTTTCTCAAGGAATTGTAAAGAACGGAAGTTAAATAAAGATGCATTTCATTTTCAATGATTTCAATAAATTATGGTACACGTGAGACGTCTCCAAAATCCTAAAATTTCCTTATTTTTTGATTATTTGAGTCAAGTCAATCGTAGCGTAAGTGCATCAAATCTGCTGTCTATTGATTATATATCTTATTGTTGCGTGTGTAATACTTGCAAATACAGTAATTTCTCCCGGAAATGCCAAATCTCGGGTTGCTATGAATTTCCGTGTGCTATTCCTACACTCGTTTGCATAAAAACGAGCCGCGAGGCTCGAAGAATCGCGGCTTAGTATTCTCAGATCTGGTTTCAATTCCGACCCCCGAACATTTCTCAGAGAAATCACTGTAAATCCTTTATTGTGCCGTAATCCGGCCACAATTTTCACGGGTTCCGTAAACCAAGCGTCAACGTGTCGTTAACTAAAAAGAAACCCTTGCCCTATCCGGCCGAAAGCGTAGTGAAAGTTAACGTTCCGGCGACGAGAGACGAGCGACGAAACCGAGAAAGGGTTGAAGACAGCGGAGCAGTGAATTTCGTAGTAAACCGCGAAGGGATGGCGCGTAAACGGAAAGAATTGGCCGCGGTTCTCCCGTATTTCCTGGCCGGGATAAATTCGGAGGCAGTCTCGCGCGGCCGCGAGCCGGAAAGAGGGGGCGGAAACGTTGAATTAGAGGGACGAACGTCGGTTTTATTTTTTCGACAAAGGGAGGAAGGAGGAAGGGACGTCTGAGTGCGCGGCACTCAATCGCCATTGTGTGATTCTTCGAGCGCACTTCACCGCGAGGATGCCGCCCCGGCCAAAGCCGGAAGATACCCTCGCCGGCTTCTGGACAGTCGGCGACCCTTTGTGATCCCACGCGACCTTTCTATTTACGAGGGCCGTCGAACGCGACTAGAAAGAGGGAGCATTAAAGGGGGTGCTCCGCGGTCGGCGTCTTTTGCATTCGCGGTGCGATCGCGGCTCTTTTCCGTCGCGAAGCGGGACCAATTCCTTTGCGAATCAAATCGAGCAGCTTTTTCCTGCTAACAGAGTCTTATACGACGTAACAATATTAATGATAATTGCGATACTTTCAACATTTTTTTAATGGTGCTTTATTCCGACGTTTTCGCGCCTCGAAGCGAGACTATTTTTCTGCGAATCAAATAAAATATAGATTTCCCATTAATAAAGTCTTATACGACGCAACAATACTTAATGATAATTATGATACTTTTAAAATTGACAAGAAAACCTTGCGACACTGACTGCAAATATTTTTGTATGATTACGATAAAGAAGAAGTAAAACGAATAAATTGAAAGATGAAATAATTATAAAGATACTTTTGAATATATTTGCACTGGGGAGCGGATCAAATTTATACTAAATCGAAGAACAGGAAAGAAAGTAATTTTAACCCTTTGCAGTCGAAGTTATTTTAACGTCAAAACCAAGACAGTACTTCTGACCTATAGTATTTCTGCTTTTAATAATTATTTTCCTGTTGTGCATATAACGTTAAGCTTATTTGTTCATGCAGCTTTTTGCACTTGAAACGATTTATTAAATATAGATAAATTTAATAATGCAAAAATTATACTGAAGAATGATGTAGGAATTTTCAGTGGCGCCTTAGAGTCGCCGTTCGACTGCAAAGGGTTAATGAAATAATTTACGTATTTCAATGTTTACGCATTCTTTTTGGAATTTCGAAAATGTGAACAATAATGGAGCTTGTATAGCAACGATATTCTTAAATCTGACAATATATTATGCTAAAGAATTAAATGCGAACAGTCTGCGTTTATTAAGAAAAGAAACAGAACAATATCCATTGAACCTAACACAAAATTTCACTATCATGTAATTTCTAGGCCGCGGATCTTTACGGAAAATAAAAATTGTCTGCATCAATTGCAAGATGCGAGAGTCAAGTGCAATCTTGTTTCTCTCTTAAATAGTTTCAATAAGTTGTAATTAACATATCGACACGTTTGGTTTCTTTCAATTGCTTCGCTATTCCATATTTCAACTATACATCTTCCCCACAAATGCATAAAATCCGCAGTCCAGTAATTTCTACCGATTTGAATAGTTTTATTCGATTTGTTATCCAGCTTCGTTAGTTACCTTGTTAAATCACGAAATTTGTATGCTAGAAGAATATTTCTCGTCATCTAAATTTGAAAAAATCTACATCCAAGAAGTTGATTTTCCGATTTTTCAGCGTGAAACCACGCGCCGGCCGACGCGCCCCAGAAAAATGGCTGCTTTCCACCGGAAACAGGGTTACCTTTGACCCGAGAACACGGTTTACTTTGCTCTCGGAAAAGATTCTCGCGCCACTCCCGAATCACTTCGCTTCTATCCCCGGCAATAACTTTAAATTCTGTGCTCGGTCCACTAATTAATTGCAGTTTTCATCAAAGTTCCCGTGTGCCAGAATTTGAGGCGAGAAACGCCGCGGAAGAAGATACTGTGGCTCGACTACTTCGGGAAATAAGAAACTTTGGAAAGCTTCCGCCGGCACTCGGGGATTCCAGCCTTCACCACTTGATTTTTCGAGGGCGGGAGAAGGGGTCCCGAGTCCCGCGGAACGGCACCCCTTTTCCCGGGACGCTCTCAAACTGGAACATGTTCAACTTCCAGCACGGAAGGGCTAAGCTGTCTTCCGACAATCACGAGAGCGCCGCGAAATGCCAGAAAATTCGAACGATTTCCTCGCAAGGTAAGTGTATCAATTACCGTGCCCATTAAAGTGACGCGTGTGTGTGTGTCCAGCGTTTTTCTCGAATTAAATAGATTTTTTTTTACCTACAGTCGCCTCGGAAAGTACGTTAATGTATCTTCAAACGGAATAACTTTTTAAAAATTGGTTCAAACGACTTGAATATTTTTGAGACGTTAGACTGACCAGCTTTTTTTATGAAATGAGTATACAAAAAGTTTATTTAGATTGTAATTAATTGGAATGATAAAAAAATTAAAAAATGATTTTTTTCAACTTTTTTACGTGAGCCCATGACGAAATTTTAAAAAATGCATTTTGTAGATCTCGGTAACTCATATGCATGCTGAAAATTTCATCGATATCGATTGACCTTGATCGTCGTATTTTCCTAAAAATATTTTAAGAAAACAGCTGCGAAAGTAAATATCACTTCTATCTTGATCATTTGTTGATCTATCTTGATCGTTGGTCATTTTTTTATGTACAAAAAGTGTCTAATCTTTAAAATTAAAGTTTTATCAAAACGAAAAATTGTAATTACTCACCTTTGGTATGCAAGCTTCCAGTCAAAGAGCTGCAACAAAAATGATTTTCATTAGATTTTTTACATCACATTTTCAGTGACTGAAAAGGACAATACAAACACATTTAGCTTTTTTAACACAAGCTATAATACGATAGACAACTGTAATACCAC